AAACAAAACGAAAACCTAAAGAACTTATTAAAACAAACAAATTTGATATAAATAGCATTTTCAAAAAATTAGAAAAATTCTATAAAATCAACCACTATTCAAGATCTCTAAATTGAGATTAGTAATCTTAAAAAGGAGATCCGATAGATCAAAGATCAACAACAAATTCATCAAATAATTCTTTCACAACTTGAAGATGATGAATCAGAAGTTGTGAAATAACAACATTATGCAAAAAATGATTCTGGAAATCCTAAAGAGGAACAATTCATGGGTTTGATTCATAAGGTCAAAATCTAAAAATTTTACATTAATATCAAAATCATTATTGAAGATTTTTTTCTTGATACTTTGACACTTTTTGATATTGGTGCTGATTCAAATTACATTTTAGAAGGGTTAATTTCTACTAAATATTTTGAGAAAACTTCTGAAAAGAGCAGCATTGTGAGTGGTTTTAAGCTTAAAATTAATTACAAATTATCTAAAGCTATTATTAAAAATAAATGTTTTAAGATAAAAACAAATTTTCTTCTTGTAAAAAATTTGAAGAATGATGTTATTCTGGGAACACCTTTTATAAAAGCTTTTTTTCCGCTTCAAAATTCAAAAGAAGGAATCTCGACTTACCACTTAGTTAAGCAAATTGTTTTCAAATTCTCTAATAAACCTTTTACTAGAAATATCAATATTTTACAAAGAAAGATTAATCAAATCAATTTTTTGAAAGAATTCTCTTTTGCTAATATTGATAATCAACTGAAGAGTTTATCATTGCAGAAAAAGATTCAATCTCTTTTAGACTACATTCAATCTTCTATATGTTCTAATCTTCCTTATGTGTTCTGGAATAGAAAAAAAAACATATAGTAAGTCTTCCCTATGAGAAAGACTTCATAGAAAATCAAATTCCTACCAAGGCGAGACCCATTCAAATGAATGAAGAATTTCTTCAATATTGTTAGAAAGAGATCAAAGATCTCTTCAGAAAAAAATTGATCTGAAAGAGTAAGAATCCTTGGTCTTGTTTTGCATTCTATGTTAATAAATAGGCAAAGTTAGAAAGAGGAACTCCCAGGTTAGTAATCAATTAAAAATCTTTAAATCAAACTCTTCAATGGATTAGGTATCCTAGTCCTAATAAGAAAGATCTTCTTAACAAACTCAACTCTGCTAAGATCTTTTTCAAGTTTAATATGAAGTCTGAATTCTGGCAAATCCAAATTAATGAATCTGATAGGTATAAAACTGCCTTTATAGTCCCCTTTGGACAATACAAATGAAACATAATGCCCTTTAGTCTAAAAATTTCTCAGTCTGAATTTCAAAAAATTATGAATGATATTTTCAATCCTTACTCAAAATTTATCATTGTCTACATCAATGATGTCTTAATTTTTTCTTAGTCCATTGATCAACATTTTAAACATATAAATATTTTTGTTAATGTTGTCAAACAAAATGGTCTTGCTATGTCTAGATTGAAGATCAGTCTTTTCCAAACAAATGTCAGATTCCTTGGTCATAATATTCATCAACTATTATTCCAATTAGCAGATCTATTGAATTTGCTAATAAATTTTCAGATAAAATCCTTGATAAAACCCAGTTGCAAAGATTTTTAGGATATCTTAATTATGTGGGTGAACTTATTCCTCACCTCAACTGATAGGCATAAGAAAAATCCTCCAGCTTGAACTAACATTCACACCAATGTCATTAAAGAAATCAAAACTAAAGTAAGAGAGATAAAATATCTTTATCTCCCTATCCCTCAAACCTTTAAAATTGTTGAAATAGATGCTTCTAATATAGGATATGGTGATATTCTTAAAATAGAGTCGATTCCCATGAGCATATCATTGCATATACATCAAAACTAGAATTCTGCAAAATAGAATTATTCAACTGTTAAAAAAGAAGTTTTGATAATTGTTTTATGTGTTTCAAAATTTCAATTTGATTTATTAAATCAAAAATTTCTTATCAGAGTTGATTGTAAATCTGCCAAAGAAATTTTATAGAAATATGTTAAAAACCTTGTCTCTAAACACATTTTAAGTATTTTTTATTTTGAAATCGAATATCTCAAAGGCACATCAAATTCCCTTCCTGATTACCTTACACATGAATATTTACAGGACAAGTAGAATGCCTAGAAAGGCGACAGCCTCCTTCAGGGGAGGAACCACCAATAGAGGAAGAGTCAGGCTTGCCCTGACTTTGAGTAAATGAAAATCAAAATTTGTTTCGGCAGATTCAAAGTCAACATCTTCGGGGTCATCCACTCCGACTAGGTCATCCACCTAAAAAGCAATCCAGATAGTTGAGTCATCAACTCAATAGTCTGTGATCCATAGAAGAGTCATCCAACGAGGTTGATTATTCTTCATCCCAATCTAAAATAGTTTAATAGACTAAGGCAAATTATGCCTTACCGATTAGTACCTTTTTAGCCATCCAACAAGGTAGTCTAAATCAATTACCGAAAAAATCCTGGGCAGATATTGCCTCTAAAGAAGAAATGAAAATAGATTTAGCAAGCCTAAACACTATTGTCCAAACCCTAAACCAATCCCAGAAAACTATCAGTTTTCCAAGAGATTCTAGTAAAGCTATCACCCAACCTTGGCCACAACAAATTGTCAAATCATCATCCAATATATCCCATTACGTAACAAAAGGAAAATTATCCTCTGTTATTCAAATGGAACCTGAATTTTGGGATAAAAATCCTTATAAAGTAATTACAAAAGTATTCCCAACTGGATTTCATTTTAAGCCAACAACTTTAAATAAAACTAGACAATTCTATGAATTTATTTTAATAGATTCAGATTCAATCTCTATTAAACATTTTAGGGACCAAAAAGATCTTAATACCATCACCTATTTCACAATACAAATCCTTAAAGTTCTGTCTTCGAGAGATTTTGGGAAAAACTTGAATATTTACAAAAAAAAATTTCAACTTTTTGACCTAGCAGGATACAATTATTGGGATTATATAAATGCTTGGACCAAAGTTTTCTGGCAACAGAATAAATTTTACTGACACTCTTGGTTAATTTATTTCCAGAAGGGACAGACCTACAAAGATTATATCTTTCCAAATTGGTTCTTTCAATGGTGGGATTTTTTTGGTCCAATATAATCAATCCTCCCTCCAAAAGTCAAATAAGACTTTGATCATTTTAAGAAAAGATTCAATCTTGATTCAAGAATTCAGGCAAATCTTAAATTTTACTCTGTCTTTGGCCTAGCTTGGGTTTTCTCCTGGCAATACAGGTATAGCAAGATAGAGAACTAAGACATGCTTCCCATTTGTAAAATGGTGGAATCAATTTGATGCTTCCTCTACGGAGATACTTGGTGTTAACAATTGGTTTGGAGTTAATCCTTAATATTTGAAGATTTCTAATCCAGAAATTTCTCAATTTCTCAATCAAAGACCTCGAATTGCAGCTTTTCTGGTAGGATGTAATTCAAAAGAAAATTTGAAGAACAATCTAAAAAATGTTCTTCTATTATTTCAAAAAGATGATGAAGTAGAATCTTCATCCAAAAAGGAAATAGAAGAATTTTATCAAAATGAAGATGATTGCTTCAATATAGATCTACAAGAATTGTAACCTGAATTGTAGTCAATAGTTCCAATAATCAATCGAAACTGTAGAAACAGTAAATTTATCTTCTATATAAAGATTTCTCAACCATGTTGTGAGGCACTCTTTCATTTAACAAGTTTTAGAGAGATTTAGAGAGAGAGGCTTTGAGATATTCTTTGTAAGCTTTTCTTTCTTTCAAGTTTTAAATAAAAGTTTCATTTTTTGTATTTAAATTTCTCTCTTCTTCCTCTTGAGCTGGTTCTATTTGGACTACCGTCGTCCAACTTTCTTCTCTTCTCCCTCTAATTGGTTCTGTACTGGTTCTACTACCGTTCCAGATTCTTATGTTTTAAATTTATGCATTTACTTTTTGCATTTACATTCCTGCATTACATATAGTAATCATGTTACTGCCTACTTTTTTTTCAGCTTTTAATCTTTCTTAATCCACTTCGAGTTCTCCAGTATGCATATCTATATATATATATATATATATATATATATATAATCATACATATTTTTAATTTTTAAATAAAAATATATTTATTTTAAAAAAAGAGTTAAACCGACTACTTCCAAGAATTTCTAATGGAATTTGTGATCCATTTAATTGTTTAAAATATTTCTCTTTTAACTCAATTATTAACCGAAGCACATGATGAAAATGTCGACTAGTATCAACAAAAGGAGCTTTTCAAGAACCAAAAGTTTAAGAAAACCATAAAACCAAGCTTTAAAATGTTTTAAAAATAGAAAATTAGGTTTTGTATCATCCATTGTACTAATTGCATCCCCTTGAGAATTTTATTTAAAAATGCCCCTATGTATGGCAACATTTAAATCTATGAAATAGATTTTTAATAGATGCCAAAATTTTAATTTTCAGCATAGATTCAAAATATTCTTTGAAATTTTTAATTTAGAATGTCAAACACTCTTCCGAAAATTTAATCTTGAAATATTTTATAAATCACTGCTGTAATTTTAGTTCAGGAATACAATTGACAAACATTCCAGAATTAATCTCCAAAAGTTTTTGACACATTAGTTTAAAAAAGAAAAGCATTGATTCTTCCCAAAATTTAATTCCAAAATGTTTTGTATATCACTTTTAAAATGTTAAGCAGCTCAAAAGTTTGCTTGATAGCAGAGTTGGGAAAACTCTCTTAACAACCATAGCACAGAAGAGCAAATTTTGACGTGGTTGCTATGAGGCGTTTGGTTTGACGATCGCATGGATAGATATGATTTATAAAGTAGTGTTCCACATTCCTTTGTTCAAAGTATGAACCCCAAATCAAGAACATAAGCCTAGTTGCATCCTCAAATAAACTAATAATACATGTACCAACAAATTCCATCAAAGTCAATGCTGAGACTGAGATTTAATGAAACATACTATGATAAAACACAAAGCTAGTAAACAAATTCTTGAGTTTATTTACAACATGAATAAAATCAAGTGAAAAGAATTATAACCAAACATAGGTGATTTAAAACTCCAATCATGAAGATAAAAGTTGCTCATTGTGATTGCAACTATCCTGAGTTAATGGTTTGCCATATATATTGAAACACAATCAACAAATTCTTTGGTGTAAACTTGAAAACTCTAGCAATTATTGCAAGAATCACAATGCTTCTTTTCCTCATGCCACATGCCCCCTAAACGGTCCCTTGAAGGATCCCTCCTACATGAACGATAGCTTCAATTTCCTGACAGATAGCCCTAGTTCCTCTCTATAAGAGCAAAGTATCTTTCCAGACACAGCTTACTTATGAAATGGCATCGTTAGTTATGACTTTTCCCTTTCTTTGACTTGTTCTTCTCTTGCATCTTCTTTTTCTTTGCCCCAGCAGTAACCCAGGTATAGTCAGATGGAATTGCAAACGGGTCTTGAATATTTTCTATCCTACTGCTGGATCCTGCAGCCGATGAACTAGGGCGGTATGGAGCCTTTATCCATTGAAACCAAGATGATGCAGAGAAGTGCGACACAGCAGGGCTCTCTTGGCCAGTTGCAGATGGACTCGATGGTGGTGTTGCAAATTCGTCTACTGGTTGTAGTTCTTCAAATTTTGTAAAAGTAACCAACACTCTGATGGTGGGAACTACAGGGATGGCAACCTGAATATGCAAGGGCTAATGGGTTTAAAATCACTTACAAATAAAGAGAAAAAAAATGCCAACAAAGAAACTAGCATGGAAATATGTTTATGAAGAAGATTACTAACATAGGTTATTATGAAAATACAATGAAGAACCAGCTAAAATGATAAAATTTCAGTCCAGAGGAAAAGCCTTCCACACCAATGATATATAATTGATAAAAATTAACTCCACATGTCAAGAAAGTTTAAAAAGAGATACATAGTTTCCAGTGCTAGGCCGCCAAGGCACCTGCACCACTTAAACATTGACCTCTTCTATGGCTAACCCCTCTTTTGGACCAAACTTTATATACATTACGTTAAAAAATTGATTGCGTGAACTTACGCAAAACAATATGACCTGGCTAGCTCAAAGGATCAAAGGACCAACCCAAATAGATGCATGGGAAGAATCTGTTGCAACAGGTACAAAATTTTAACATTCCAAGATTGATCGTGTGAACTTATGCAAAACAATATGACCTGGCAAGCTCAAAGGATCAAAGGACCAATCCAAATATATGCATGTGAAGAATCTCAAGACAAACAAAATTTTAAGGCCGGGATTCACTATCATTACTCCTAAAATCTAAACCAATTACTCAATAGATGAGAAAAAAAAAGGTTAATAAAAGGATTCACTAACAAAAATGTTTAATGCAATTAGAGTTCTGCAGCTGGATTTTTCTAATCAAATAATTAATAGCTCAGGGCATCAGCAAACAGGTTTAACATTATTACAAACCCATTTTCTGAAGAAGCTAGAAAATCATAGTCCAGTTTCTATTAATTAAAAAAATCATAGAGTAAAAAGCACAAATTAGAAGGATAATGAATCAGTTCAGGCCAATACACCCATATTAATCAAACCCGTAAAACTGAAAGAGAATTCTTATTCCCATGGACCAAATTAGGATCAGAAGTCTGGCGAAACAAATTTTCTGATCATTGAACTAAACCAAACTTGGGATTGTCAACTGCAGTATTTCTTTCTATAGAGAGAAAAAGCATGGACAGTACAACTATAATATGTACAACACTTAGGGTATGTTTGGATAAGAGATAAAATAGAAAGAAAAGAAATCGGAGGGTGAAAAATAAAGAAATAGAGTAGAAAAGATACACTGTTTGAATGAGTAAAATTAGGAGAGAAAGTGAGTGGAAAAAATTCTCTTCACTTGCTTGGATGAGTGAAAGAGTAAAATTAAATAAATAGATTGTATAAGAAATATTTTTATAATAATAAAAAATTAATTTAATGAAGAAATAAACTTTTTAATACAACATTTTTATCTTAATACTTTTTTTCTTAATTTACTATATTCTAATATTATTTTAAGAATTACTTAACATTGAAATAAACTAAAAAAACAAACAAAGAATCCTATGATCTCCTCCCACCCAAAATCATCGCAACAAGGGGGAGAAAAAGAATTTGTGGGGACCACCTCTCACTTCTCTCCTCCCACTAAAAGACAAGATATTTAAACAAGGGAAAATATTTATTGAGAGTTATTTATTATCGTAAAGTACTTATTAAACTAAAAGGAAAGCTTTATTGTACTAATATATGATCAATTATCTTATATACTAGTAAATATGAGATTTAATGAAACAACACAAGAAAAATGTGAGAGTTGCATAAATGTAAATTCTAAGATGGATGTCAACATGACAAAAGACAAGATAAGAAATAATTATATATGTGAGAATATTAGAGTAGTACCTACTGTGAAAAATAAGATAGAAAATCAATTAAGATAGTTTAGACAAATGCAAAAAAAGTCACTTAAGGCACTAGTGTGAAGAGTGAATAACATAACTTTTAGTCTGGTGAAAAAGAGTAGGAGGAAACCCAAAAGAACTTTAAAAAAATTATTAAAAAATCTAGCCATAAATAATATCTCAAAAAATTTAGTTTTTGATCAAGCAAAATGGGATTGTGTAATTCATGTAGTCGACTTCACCAAGTGGAATAAAAATTGGTGGTTGTTTGGCAATTTGCTGTGAAAATAATAAGGATCTTTGATCAATTTGACTATTAAGGTAGACGCATTAATCTTAGTAAGCAAGCTCAATGGAAGAAGCTTGATTATCAGTTGATTTCACTTTTATGGCAGTCCATTGAGCCAAAGCTATTTGTCCATTTTTGTACATATAAGACATGCTGGTACACTATGACATATGGAAGAAAGCTTGCATTGTTTATTCAAATGACATTTAGCATCTCTATGGGGTAATACATAATTTGGCTGCACTCCAAATGACAGATAACAACTTCACATCATATCTGACTAGAGTTCATCCACCATTGATGACAGGTTCATCACCTTCCAAAAGTCTTGGACAAGATTGATAACATGTTCATGTTGTTCATCCTTCATGAGCTTTACAAGGATTTTAAATCTATTTGGAAGCAAAGTCTAACAAATTTCAATGTACCTACAGCATGGAACCCATTGATGTTTGTTGCGTGTTCCCTCTCTAAAGACTATGTCAAGAAATGGCTCCCAACTAGGTTCAAAGTCTTCTGCATTCTCTTCGAATGTGACAAGTCATCAAGATCGAGGAGGTGGAAGAGGAGGTCATGGTCCTAGTAATGTGATGGGCCACAGTGCTATCATCATTCTCATCCAATATATAAATTTTTGAGTTATCATTTCTCTTCATTTCATTTTGCCTATCCTTTATCACTATTCCTAAAGCAGTCCAAGAGGCTTTCTCATCCAAGATGACAACAAGCTATGATTAACAAGATGCAAGCCTTAGAATTCAACCAGATTTTGAAACTTGTTCTCTTTCCTCTTGGAAGTTCTACAGTTGACTATTGTTGGGTGTTTGCTATCAAAGTGGGACCAAATAGACAAATTAATTGCCTGGAAGCTCAATTGGTAGCTAAAGGCTAGGGCTAAGCACATTTATCGAACCCACCCAAAACCAAAGAACCCATGGTAGTTAAAATCGTGATTTTACACACAGGATTGTACAACTTTATGATTTTTTTTCATGCCATCACAATCAAACCCTCTAACTCATACAGCTAGGATTGGTAGAATTGTAAGATCTTACTTGTAAGATCATAGGATCGAACATTTTTTCTGATCTTGCTCAAACTCATTTCTTTTAAAAAAAACCCAACAAATCTGACCCATTTTCAATTGGTCCATTAAATTAAAGACTTTAACTCATTCATTTTGGCACTTTTTCTTCACCTTTTTTTGTTCTTATGCACACAAAAGTTTTAAACCCCTTCTGGTTTTTCTACTTCTGGGTTTGGCCCTATTCACTTCAGTTCTTTTGCTTTTGGGTTGAACTCTTGGTTCATTTTCTTGTGGGTTCAACTACTCCTTGCTTTGGTTCAGTGCTACACTATTTGGGACCCTGGATTCCTAGGTTACACTCTTTTAATCTGTTTAGTATTTATGAAAGTCTTTTAAGTGGGAAAGGAGCTGCTAGGGAGGGTAATGGAGTTCAGGTGCTGCAAGAGTTGGAAGCAGCTAGGATGATGCTGCTGGTGGGGGTTCTGAATTTGGAATTGTTGTGACTTAAAGTTTGTGACTGTTTGTAATTTAAGGTTATTTTGTTCTGAATTCAAAATCATTTTGTATTTAAGTAGGATCTTATGATCTGTGTTAAGGTTACAGGGTTTCTATGTAGGACCTTGATTTTGACTACCTTGTTCAAAACCTTCACAGACTAGACTAAACGCAAAACTGCAGTGATGTAGTTTGTTGGTGTCCACATGGCAAGCCACCCGGCTCCAAGAACAAACCAAAACCACTAGTCATCATAACGAGAGCTAGTGCCAACATGCTAAGGGCTCACATCCTCAAATTCAAAAGCGGCTCCAATGTGCTCAACTGTATCACCACCTATGCGCGACAACAGTGCCAGTGCAGGATCTATATCCTTAGTGGCAACAGCACCATTGCGAACGTCAGTCTCCAACAGCAGCAGAAGTGGTTGTCAAAATCCATGGAATTTTTTAGATTGCCGCCGCTGGCTCTGTTGGGAGCAACAAGTGTCTGCCGTAGCTGAACCCAAAGACAGTGCTAGAGAGCTATAGATCAACCCACAGCAAGCCACCCGAGCACCTAATAAACCCACAACCTAACTAACCTAAAGCTTAAATTGTCAAAAGTGGGCTAGAAAATACTACATTTGACTTTCAGTGATTTGGCTATTTTGGGCATGAATCTGACCAAATCCTGTCTGATGTGCAGCCCTACTATAGGCTACACAGATTTTTGGGCTTGACTATGGTGACACCTTCTCCCTTGTTACAATGATGGCCTCAATTAGCCTCTACTTATCCATGGTTGTCATGTGTTGCTGGCTTCTATCTCAACTAAATATAAAAAATCCATTTTACAAGGTGATCTCGCTAAAGAAGTTTATATGGAGCTACCTCTTGGTTTTGTAGCTCAAAGGGAGTTGCAAGGATTAGTTTGCAAGTTACGCAAGTCTTTGTTTGGCCTTAAACAGAGCCCTCAATCATTGTTTGGCAAATTTAGTATAATTCTTCAATCGTGTGGGATAAGTTGCAGCAAGGCAAACCATTCTATGTTTTTAAACACTCTTTTACTAATCAACGTATTGATCTTATTGTCTATGTAGATGACATTGTTATCATAGAAGATGATCATGATAGTATCTACCAGCTCAAATAGCATTTGTTTCATCATTTTCAAACAAACCAAGGACTCGGGTTGATTGTATTATTTCCTTGGGATTGAAGTAGTTCAATAAAAAATTGTTGCCATATCTCAAAGAAAATATGTTGTTGATATTTTGGAGGAAACAAAGATGCTGGATTGTAAACCAGTTGATACCCCTATAAATCCAAATGTCAAACTTATGTTGGATAGGGGGGGCTCTATTCAAGTCTGGGGGGGCTCTATTTCCTTTGCAATCAACGCTGTAAGTCAAATTCTTAACTCCTAGTAATAGTTATTGTGATGCAGTGGTTCAAATCTTGAGATACATGCAAGGTTCCCCTAGAAAAGGATTAGTTTATGAAAATAGAGGCCATAATGATGTTGCCTATACATATGTGAATTGGGCTGGTTGTCCAAGTGATAGATGATCAACTTCAGGATATTGTGTACTTATTGGAGGTAACCTTATTGCTTGGAAGAGTAAGAAACAAAATATTGTAGCAGATCAAGTGTCAAAGTCAAGTATCAAGCAATGGCCCTTACCACATGAACTTGTATAGCTAAAGCAACTTATCTTTGAGTTGAAGTTTTGTAGGATAGGATCTATTAGGCTTATTTATAATAACCAGACAACCTTACACATTGTCTCTAATCCTATCTTACAAGTGCAAACCAAACATATAGAGATTGATTGCCTTTTCATTTGTGAAAAGGTTATGTTTGGTGAAATCATTACATCATGAATTCCAATGACTAGATACCAAAACATGCTTACTAAGCCACTTCAAGGTCAACAAATAACATACATCTGTGACAAGCTTGATGCATATGACATATATGCACCAACTTGAGGAGTGTTGAGAATCTTTGTATTTTTGTTGTTATTCCTGTTATAAATGTGATTATAATTCTTTCCTTGTATATAGAATAGAAATCAGATTGATTATGTAATTGAGTTAATTAGATCAGCTGTAATCACTCTTTCAATCCCTATAATCAAAGGGGTTCAGTTTGTACAGTATGTAATTATAAATATCATGACTGCTGAATGCTAATTCATGCATTCAGATTTAGCTTAATTGTTTTTGCTCTTCTGTCTCAAGTAATGTATTCAGAACATACAGTAATTTTGTAATTTTTGTATATCTAGGTTCATTAAGGAGATGTAAATCATAAGAATCATAAGCTAAGTGAATGACATAGTGGAATGTTTCAGGTGATATGTGATCAAAAAGTGTCTCTGAAACCTAAGGATTATTTTACTACATAGCCATAATTAGACTTGCAATGCATAGCTGTAGTGAATATTCAGTAACAGAGTCAGTGAAAGCATAAGCTAAGGGTGGCAAAGATGAGTATGTTAAAATGGATGAGTGGGAATACTAGTAAAGATTAAAGAATGTAATAGAGAGAAATTGAGGGTAAAAGCCTATTGAGGAAAAGATAATAGAATTTTGTCTAAAGTTGTTGGTTTGGCCATAAAGACCAACAGAAGCCCTAGTAAGAAGAGTTGAGCAAACAAATGATAGAATAATGGTTGGAGGGAGACAGAAAAAACTCTAGGTGAAACCATTAAAAAGAAATCTAATGACCTTTATGAAGACTTGGTTTATGACAGCACATAATAGTCATTGGATCAATGTAGCTGACCCAACCTAGTGGGTAAAGGCTTTCATTGCTGTTGTAGAATTTCTTTTTAAAATAAATTGCTGCTACTTATATTATATAATGAATATTGATGATTTATATAGACTTTCTTTTCAGATTGAATTGAGCATCATTATTCATTCTTGGGCTTAGATCCATAGAAGTCAAAGTAGCAATACTGGCCTCTATTGCGGAGGAGCAGAGTGGAGTGGCTTCCTACTCCAATCATCGCATCATAGTTTTCTACAGCGGCTGTTGCACCGCAAAAAGTTGTTTTCTAGTGATACACAAGGCAAAAAGTTGAGTTTCCCCTCCCTTCTTGAGTGTTGGAATGCTTTTAAGGGGGACAATCTTGGGATTTTGCATTCTTTTTACATTGCTGCTTTTTGTGCTCCTTCATTTTTGACAAATCAAATCCTAGTGACCTTTCTTCATCTTCTCATCCTCTTGCTTCGTCCTCCATATCCAATGTCCTTTTCTAGTGTGAGTCACCATCTCCGGCCAAGTTCAAGTCTTCTTCATCTCTGGCGAAATCAAAGCTATTTTTGACGTGACCCCATACATTTTTCCAATTGTCTTCTTTATATTCAGTGAAACCCAATGTCAAGGACCCCATCAATTTATTGTTGTTCAAGAGTCCAAAAACAAGCATCAAACTAAGAAAGGTAAAGAGACAAACAAATACAAATGATGCTAGTGTCAAGGAGGAAAGAGCAATAACAATTCAATACATAGAGCAATTTCTTTGTAGAAATTGAATTGCTTTCAATGTTGTGGGCTCAAAAAACTTCAAATTAATGGTTGAAGCTATTGAAAATAATGGCCCACACCTAAAGCATCTTAGCTATCACAAGTGAAGAGTTTTTCTTCTTGAAAAGGAGTTAAGAGTTTACAAAGCAAATGTTGAAAAGTCATGAAGAAAAAGGAAAAAATTGTGGATGTTTAATTATGTCAAATGCATGGATGGATTAAAAAAAATAGAACATTGATAAATTTCTTAGTAAATTGTCCCACTAGGTCTACATTTTGTGAAGAACACTGATGTATTTGCTTATATAAAAGTTGAAAAAAAGTTGTTTGAGTTCTTGGATATTTTTGTTGAGGAGATTGGAGAACAAAATATTGTGCAAGAAGTGACTGCAATGGAATGCGTTGACCGATAAGAATTATTCTTAATTGTCAAGTAATTTCATTTTAAAAATTTGTATTCTTATTTTATTAGTTTTTCATTTTAGACTATACAATTTAATTTTAGATAAGTTGTTACATGCCAAGAGACAACACTTGCTTTGAATTCCATGTGTTGCAAACTGCATTGATTTGATGTTGAAAGATATTGGCAAAATAGCTTTTGTCAAGAGAATACAAAAAGAAGTTAATTTTGTAGACTTTATTTATAATCATGCATTGACTATAAACATTATAAGGAGATTCACAAATAAATTTAAATTGGTTAGATATGAAGTGACAAGATTTGTCATAACAATCCTCACATTACAAAAGTTGCATGATAAAAAAACAACCTTAGAAAAATATTTACTTCCGATGAGTGGTTGAAGTCCAAAACAACCAAGAAAACTAAAGGAAAAAGGGCAATAGACACTATGCTTATGCATTCTTTTTGGACTGATATTGTTTACACTCTATGGAACCCCTTGTGTAAATTTTTACGCTTGTTGATAATGAGAAAAAGTTTGCAATAGGTTACATATATGAAATAATTGATAGGACTGAAGAAACTATTCAAAATGCATTCAAAGGAAATGAAAATAAGTATAAAGAGATTTTGCTATAAATGATAGAAGATAAGAGCATCAGCTTCATCATCCATTGCATGCTCCAAGCTATTATCTTAATCCACAATTTCTTTATGGCAATTCAAAACACGGAATGATACTAAAGTGATAGGGGGCTTCTATAAATGTATTGAGAGGTTATCTATAAGTGAAGAGGATATAAACAATGCTTCACATCAATTGTCAAAATATAAAAGAGTTGAAGGCCTCTTCGGTTTGAAAGGAGCAATAAGACAAAGAATTACAATGGCTCCTAATAAGTTATTAGTTTAATTTTTTTTATTGTGATGTAATTATCTAAATAGCAATGCTAATAAGTTATTGCATAACCTGTAGCTGAATGGGGGAAGAACTATGGAACCCATACGCCACATTTACAAAAACATTGTCATTAAAGTGTTGTGTTTGACTTATAGCTCATGGGGATGTGAACAAAATTAGATTACTAAATTAGATTACTTTTGAGCATGTAAGTAAATATCAAACAATTTCAACTTAAAGTGGCTTGGTCTAATATCAGTGAAAGTGTAAAACTAATATTTTTTATTGTAAAATAGATCCATTCTAAAAAGAGAAGCAAATTTGAGTATCAAAGGTTGCAAGACTTGATTTTCATCAAATATAGCCAAGCTCTTAAAGAATCTTTTGAATGTCATGATATGATGGATCATATTCTTTTAAAAATTGTTGATGATAGCAATGAATGGTTTTTAGAAGGAACCAGTGGAGTTGATATGAAGAAAGTGTTGTAAATGAATTGATGTTTGATAACAATAACTTAACTTGGGGAACGGTTGCCAGTGCAATTGAGGCTAGTAAGCCTATAACTTACACTAGGAAGCAAGTTAGATCAACAGACAACTACAATTGTTTCTTCCTCTGCATCTAAGGAAAAAAGGAAGGAAATTATACAAGAAGAATGTGATGATGAAGACATTAAAGAACACGAGGAGGAAAAAGACCTCTATAAAACTAGTGATGAAAGTGAAAATGAAGACGACATTGATAATGGAGATGAAAATGATGAAACCTATTAAAAAATTTGTATTTGAATATTTAGTGATTCTAAACTTCAAAGCATTAGAGACTTAAACTTGTTTGGTTCCTTTATTTTGTTGTTATTGACATTTGACATGAGTTATGTTTTCAAACTTTCACTTTTGATCATTAATTATACGTCTTTAATTCAGGTATTAATTTTGTATTTTTCAGCATATATATGTGTAGCTTAATTTATATTAACTACTATGCTCAGATCTACTCCTTAACCATTTCTTCCTCTCTTTCCTTTTTCTCTAAATGTTTCACATCCATAGACCAACACAAGATGTTCACACTACAGCATAGAGTAAACAAGCAAGGGGGTAGTTCATCATAGTGAGTGATACAAAAGTAAAATAAAACAAAAAGAATCTAAGAGTTTAACATATGCAAGAAATTGATAATTTCTAGTAACAAGTTTTAAATTGAAAATGATATGCACAGACCTTAACAGGAAACGTCCCCACTGGAAGTTTGGTCGTAAGAAGTTCTCTTAAACGACGAATTGCTTTAACTTTGTTAGCAACAATGTCAAGCAACGGCAAGAGTTCTTCAGTTTTTAGTGGAAAGTTTGGTGAAAGCCAAAGAATGGGTCTCAATCCTTTCTTGTATTCATTTTCACGATTTCCATCCTTGTGACGACTTCTGCTATCAGAATTTGCTGAAGAAGCTTTGGCATCTTTTTTCCTCCGCTGCTCATCACCCCTCACCGCTATCTCAACAGAATGTCTTCCTAGCTTACTCTGATTTCTTGAAGGAGAATCCCCCAATAAATCACTCACCTTTTCTTCTACACATAGAGAACTTCTTGGTAGAGCAATCTTCTTTGATGCTTCATGTTTAGAATCCTTTTTCCTCCATCCACCAAACCATCCCTTCTTTTCCTGCTTATTCTCTACGCATTTGCTACCATTTCCATCTTCAATAGGAATATCTCTATGTTCATAACAGCTGTGACGATGCCCAATAATCACCTCATCACTTTCATTGATCATGTCTGATGAATCCAACTTAAGTGCATCTTCCAACTGCCTTCTTTCATCCTCAGTCAAAATATCATTGAGCTCTTCACTTTCTGTTTCATTTTCATTGCAAGATGAGAATAATTCATCATCTGTCATAGCTCCAGGAACTCCTCTAGATTTTATGCTTACAACTACGTTGTGCATATCATACACCTTAGCTTTCCAAGGCCCTACCATTTCTGCTCTCTCCTGTCGCCTCCAAGTCAACTGAGGCAAAAGAACTGCTTGTGTAACGTCAATCCCGGGCCTAAATATATTTGTTTTAGACATTGCGGCAACTTCTTGCTGAACCTCCTCATCGTTTGCTGGAAAGCCAGCATCATCTAGAGCATTAAGTACCTCCTTTTCCTTGTGTGAGATCATGCACAGCGACCCGGGTGGGACTTTCCCATCCTCTGAACCGTCACCCAAGAAAAGAATGCTCTGATCTGATCTCTGAATTCTAAAACCATCAAAACCAGCCAAAGTCATGTCTGCCCTTAGATTTGCTCCCCTTTTCCAAATTTTGTAAGTGTCTGAAGGTGCAATTCTTGAAATGAAAGGAATCACGGAACTCTCAAAATGGAATGTAATCTCCATGTAAAAGTCTCTCATTCTCTGCATGGTCCCTACCAAGCGAGGCAACCTTCTGCACCATTTTGCCCAAGCAAGTGGCTGGTAATGTTTAATTATTATTTTCGCAATACCCTCTTCTCTACTACAAATAGCTTCCTGAAGAGCACTCCATCCCTGTTCATTCTGCAAACTCCAATCTGCCCCAGCAACCATAAGCATCTGTGTGGCCACTTCGTCCCCAAATTTCACAGCCAAGTGAAGAGGGGTATCACGGTTTGGCACATCGCGCCGATCAATTACAGCAGAGATGGCATCAGCCTTCTCTTCCTCTAATGTTGAAACTGCTACGGTGCGAATCTCGGCCGTGTTACGCAGGCGAGGGAGGCTTTCAAGTACCCTCTTAAGTTCAGCATAATCCTTCAAAATTATGGCCTTGTGCACAGGACTATGAGCATACTTTGAAACATCAATCCCCGCCATACCTCAACAGCATAAAGGGTACACCACCACCAACCCAGAGGATAAATCACAAGCATATACACATGCCACCATAAAAAATCAAAACTTTTCTCAATTGGGTACCCAAAACTTGCGCAATCCAACCAACCAGCACTCAAACCACACAACCTTGTTCACAATTTCCCTCTAGAACACAGCAAATAGGTCCCTATCAATCAGAAATTGAAAAAAGACCCAATTTGAATCAGAACCATAAAAGACTAAAAGCACAACAGAAAATTGAAAAAATCAAAGAAAAACATCATGTGGGGTCCCAGATCAAGCATTTAAAGGAAGGGTGCAAGATACTACACTACCCTTTCTCCTTTCTTGATGGTTGCCCAAGGGTTCAGGAATCATAGGTTAGTCAAACCCCACGACACCACTGCCCTTCAAGTAGCAAACAAAAAGGGAAAATGGCAAAGATCCTTGTGATCCAATCCAGATCAGACAAGCATGAAGAGAACATGCATGTGGGTGCGTGAACAAAATTTCTATAATAAAAAATAAACTTTGAATATTAAACTAAATTTAGTTTTTCTTTAAAAAAAAAATACAAAATATCCTAAAAGAGACAGTGTGAGAAAAGGGGGAAATTGTTGAAGAAAGGAATAACAAAGCTAGGGATCAAGAAACCACCGAAGCAAAGAAAGGGGGAACTTGTGTATGTTGCAACGGTATAGCTAAAAACGGATAGAGGAACAAAAGTGAGGGACAGTTAAAAAAAAGATGAAATAATTGCAAGTGAAAGAAAAGAATATCGCAGATTCATGGTCAAGGTTTCAGAGATGTGTGTGTCACTGTGTCCTCCGTTGGTGAGACCATGCAAAAAATATTCTAACCTAACAAATTAGAGAAACAAAAAGTCTATCAAAGATCATCAATGGTGAACTGAAAGTAACGTGCCTTCTAAATTTAATTTCACTGCTGTTTATTATAATATTTCAAAAGTATATTAATTAAAAATTAATATTATATATTTTTACCATAATTTTTTGAACATTTTATAATAAATTTTTTAAAAAATTACTGCTTGTAATATTAAAACAAGATTCTTAGTTATCGTTCGTTTGTTTTAATAAAATTATCTTGATAAAAAAATATACGTGGTCTAAACTAAAAAAATAAAACTTTTATTGCTTGTTTTAAATTTTTAAAAAGGTTATTTTCAAAATATATAAAAATGATTTATTTCTAATATTTTTATAAAAATTAGATATTATTTTTGTGTAATTATAATTATAAAATATACTTTTTTAATGATAAATAATTAATAGTTAATTTTCACTATAGAGGTTGGTCTAACTGATAAGCAGATTAGTATTATCGAAAAAAGTTTTGAATTTGAGTTTTTGTATATGTAAAAAAAACTTTAGTAGTAGACTCATATATTACATGCACGACTTGGATTAGATTTAGATTAAACTAAATAAAAATTAAAAATAATTAATTTTAACTTCTTTTATATGAGCTATTCAAAAATTTTTTTTCAAAAAAGGTAAAATTATATTATTTTTAGCTTCTGACCTTTTAAATAATTTTAATCAAATAATTTAAAAATTAATTAAAAACATTTTTCATTAAAATAATCTTAAAAAATACCTCTTAATTTAGCTCTTGAAAAATATCTTAATCTAATTTAATTTTTTATTAAAAAATATTAAGTAATCTCTTTAAATTATGACCTAGAAAAAACTTTAGTTTTTAAGTTACTTTTTTAGTACATAATTAATTATTTAAAAAATAAATATATGCTTATTTAATCTCTGAAAAGTTATTAATAATTAAAATTCATTTCTAAAAGTATTAAACAAAATAAGTGAAAAACAAACCTTTTTAATATTTGTAATTTAGAGGAATTATTAGATGATGTTTTGTTAAAAACTACATTAACCTGAGTAATAATTTTTTAGTAATCGAAGTGACTATTTTTTTTTTTATTTTCAATTTACTAGATATTAATTTTTTTTCTTTTTAAATTAAAGAAAATGAAAAAAAAAGGAAAAAGGTTTTGTAATATATGTCGAAAGGAAAGATAGAGGACTCTCACTCCAAAGAAGACAATTGTATTATTTTTTGAATCAATGCCCCAATACATTGTCAACGATCCTTCTTTTATATAAAACCATGCAAGGCTCCCTGCATTTCTCGCTTATTAGATGCAACTAACTAACTGTTTGTTCTAACATTCCAACTGATTCTAATCATCTAATTCCGCACGTGAGCTTATATTAGTTGGTTTCCTGCGTCATTAGTTGTATCAATAGTTATCCTTTCAACCACAACCTTGTCCTCGAGGTTGATATTACGTGATCGCAAAAGGTGGAGGTCTTCCCACGTAGCATCTTCTCTTGGCTTATTCTCCCATTCAACTAAAACTTGTACTATCAACTCTCCTTGCTGCTGCCATTTACGTTTTGCCAAAATGGCGGCAGGATTAGCCTCCTCAGATAGTTCCTCTATTATAGTCCCATCACCTTGTTAATGCATTGCTGAACCCTTATAAAGCTTAAGTAGTGACACATGAAATACTGAGTGCACCTTGGCTGAAGCAGGAAGGAGTAACTTATAAGCTACCGCTTCGATCTTCTCCAGTATAGGAAAAGGGCCATGATATCTCTTGCCCAGCTTAGGGTGGGCACGACCCCCTGTAGTAAGTTGCTTATGGAACTTAGTGCGTAGCCAAACATAGTCACTTACCTTGAATCTACGCTCCTTGCAGTGTTGGACTGCGAACTTCTTCATACGTTGTTGAGCCTGTTGGAGGTGCTTTGAGAGTGAACTTCAAATTAGTTTGCACTATTCTAACTCTTATTCCATCACGTGGACCATCGTACTGCCCACTCAATAGCTTGGCCATAGCCATGGTGTTTTGCCAAAGAATGCTTGATATGGGCTCATTTTAATGGCTGTGTGGTACAATGTATTATACCAGTATTCTGCCCATATGAGAAACTTATGCCATCTGGTAGGGTGGTCACAAACAAAGGCACGAAAATATTGTTCTAAACAACAATTAAAGACCTCTGATTGCCCACCGTTTATGGATGGTATGTTGTACTAAATTTGAGTTGTGTGCCACATAATTTCAATAAATTACGCCAAAACTTGCTAATGAAGAGTGGGTCACGATCAGACATCTTGTGCGGTATGATTAGGTAACAATGATCCAAAATGCGCCCTTTTGGAGTATCTGTTCACCACTATGAAGATGCAGCTGAGCCCTTCTGACTTGGGTAATGTGGTGATAAAGTCCATAGTTAAATCTTCCCAAATTCCCTGTGGACATGGAAGCAGCTGTAATAAACCACTGGCCTGCTCCTTGGGCACTTTGATTTGCTAACAAGTGACACATGACGCAATATACCTTTGAACTTCCTTTCTCATATTGGGCAATAGAAATTTTCAGCAATCTTCATGAATGTTTTCTACTTACCTGCATGTCCCCCGAGTGTTGTGTTACAAAATTCACATAAGAGGTCCTTCTTAACATCCGCCACTAAGTCAGGCACAAAAATTTTATCATGTTGCATAAGTAGATCCTCGTTCATTGAGTACTCACTCGTTTGTGAGTTCTGCAAGTCATATATAATCTGTTGAGCTCTCGTGTCTACTTGTGTGGTGATAAGTCTGTAATTAGGCCTTTTTTTACAGCCTATATATTCATATTTGACCTTTATTTTATTCATAATTGTGCTCATATGCGGAAAGTCCAATTATGAAGAGTCTTTAGGGTTTTCAAACTCTATTAAAAGAGAGACCTCAGGCATCATAAAGAGGACTATTTTTGACATCGTTTTTATCTTGGCTTTTGCTTTGGGATACATCTCATCTCGTCTCTCTTGCACGGGATCTTCGGCATACTCTTGGCGAGACTTGGAGTTTCGAGAGATCGTACTTGAAGACCGGGAACATATCTCATACTCTAGTTTGTTATTTCTTTTAATTACGGCTTTGTTTATGATTGTTTTAATTCGTTTCTTTAGCATGAGTAACTATAAAATTTGATTTCTGTTTCGTGATTAAATTTTATCGTATTGCGCTTCTCTCTTAATCCTAATTAATTATATCGTCAGGCGATCGTACCTCGGTTAATTAATAGATCTATAGGGTAAAACGAGGCAAAGGATTAGGTGGACCAAACCAATCTTTCTCTTCTAATCGTTATTAAATTAACAAGTTCATAGTCTCCTTAAGCTTTCTTAAATTGATGTCTTGCATGACCATTGGGTATTAATAGTATTCGTATAAATGATTAGTAATCACAAAGAAATCAGATTTAGAGTTAAACAGAAAACTAACATAAATGATTGAATGAGAAAATTCATATGCCCTAGGTTTCTCTCCAATAAGTTTAACCAAGATGTGCATTGTATTCCTTGCTCTTAGTTTTATAGTTGATTGTATAAATTCTTGTTTTAATTTATCTCATATCTTTGAAGCCTAAACAATTGAATTAGAAAATTCTTAGTAATTGAAATTAATCCTTGTGGGACGATATTTTGGGAACTTAATTTAGAACCTTTTATTACTTCTCGATGGGTACACTTGCCCTTCGAACATGTGACCTCTCTTATGCACTAGAAAAGCTTACATTGCATCGACATCATCACACTTGAGTAAGCTGGTTGCGGTTGGATTCGCGAGAGTGCATCAGCAACCACGTTTTCAACCCTTGGCTTATACTCAATGGAATAATAAAAACCTAGTAATTTACTCAGGTAATGATGTTGTTCAGGTGCCTTAATGACTTGATTCATGAGCTCCTTTAGACTCTTATGATCCGTATGAATAACAAATCTGTGGCCTAGCAAGTAATGACGCCACTTGGATAATGCCTGAGTAATCGCATATAACTCGTGCACGTAAGTAGATGCCTTCACTAGTCGAGGATTTAACATTTTGCTAAGGAAAGCAATTGAATGACCTTGTTGCACTAAGACAGCACCGATGCCAAAATCTGAAGCATCAGTTTCCACAATAAACTCACGTGTGAAATCCGGCAAGGCTAGCACAAGAGCACTGGTTGATGAACAAAAGATTTGTCGCGAATCCTCATCAAAATATAAATAAATTAATGTAATACTAGAGTGCTAACCTAGATTGTCTCCCATGAATCATTGGATGAGTAACCAAATATCAAACATATGGTGTGCAATGTATTTAGAAAGCAAGTAAAAAAAGGGGGTTTTGTGATTTCAAATTCAATATAACGAGCAAGAAACAAAATTATAAAGTTCAATCAATAAAATGTAGTAACCCCTAGTTCATTCATGTAGACTCTATCCCTTTTTCTCTCAAGATTTAATACTCTTCCTCTCCTCCCAGAATTAGGTTAATTTAACGAGCAAAATCAACCTTATGTTTCCATACGAATTAAGCAATTCAATGGACTCTAATCTCTCATCCCAAGATTACGCAACCTTAGAAATAAACCTAGAATTAAGCAATTTAAGTTTAGAATCTCATTAAAACGAAATAGGGTTAATTAAGCAATGTCCCTCTCATTCAACCATTAATTTAATTCAAAAGATTAGGAAGAAGATATTCATAAAAGAAAAGAATTTGTATTAACATTCAAAACCCAAGAATTCAAGAATCTAAGTGAACTCACTAAGGATTACAAAAGGTTTAGCCCTCCATGAGGATGGGTCTCACCATTACAAAGTAAAATTAAAGAGAATTTAATAAAATCAAGATGAAAAATCAAAGAGAAGTAAGAAGAAAATGGAAATCAAACCCTAGGTTTGACCCTTGGCTATCACCCAA